TTTTTTTGCTATTAGCAAGTGACTGGTGTACATCAGAGCAGCCCAAGACCTGTCTGAACTTTGGCTGCGTGTCTGAGATCTGCTGAGAGTCACACGCCAGCTCAGAATAGCTGGAATGCACCGCTGCCTTCCCACTCCCCTGGCTTTGCCCGGGACTTCGGGGGGGAGAAACGGGCACTCAGGGCAGGACTGCAGAGCTGAAAAGCGGCACCAGGTTGTGCGTTTGAAGACGTGAGACATACGGGACGCACAGCGAGAGAAGATGTGGGAAACCTGCCCCATGCTTCAGTGGGGTAACGTGTTGTGATAAGGGTTCCTCTGCCCCAGCGAGCGGGGGATTCGGGGGCGTTGCATTCCTTTGCGTAAACCCCAAAATACAGCTTTGTTTGGTACCACATTCTACAGTCATAACTAGGTATAGCTAACGCTGGAGTTACGCAGAAAAAACCTGAATGCTTCCAGTATTATTATTCCGTAACGAAAAATTTCCCAGGTTTGATATGAAGGTTAAACTTCTGCTTTGTTTTGTTTTTTAAATACTGATTTCAGATTTACCTCGCTAGTTCCACGTTTGGACTAAAATCTGTTGAGACTTCTGGAGGGTATTTCCACATGGCTAATATTTTCTTTCACCAGAACAAAATGGACATAGCAAACTCACTCTATGCTAAGGTTGGTAAAACCACAGGTCATCCTTTATATTTTTCTTGTTATTTTTTATTTTCTGTGTTCTTTTTTTTCCTGTTCCTGACTGCCCTTAATGTGACAGTGTCTGTATCGAGCATCAGCATTGCCTTTTAGGATCAATCCCAGAAACCCTTTTCATCCTTAAATATTCCTCTCAGTTAAAACCAGGAGGGAGAAATTCTGTACTCGGTTAAAAATTGTTATGCAAATTGTCTTCAATTTGGACAGCCAAACCTTGTTTAAAAAATAACTTTGCTACCAAATACCCCGCGCTAGAGGTTAAAGAGATTCGCAGAAGCAGAGAGAGTCACTGAGGAGTTTCCGTGCCCAGGGAAGAATTTCTGAGCAGCAGCGGAATACAAACGAGCCGCGGAAAATTTACGCTGAGAATCAATGAAAAGTCACACTGATAAAAGACGGTCAGAATGGAGCGATCAAGCAAGGGAAGTTACGATTATCTAATCACTCTAATAACTGAAAAAAAATGAGCTTTCAGTTTTTTGGCCTGATTTTCTGCGGAAACGGGGTGTTGGCAGTGCATGATCTGCCTCCCTTCCCCTCGCAAACTTCAACCAACTTTTAGTGAGTTAGATTTGTTCAAGCTTGATGAAAATTAATAGTCCGATGGAGAAGCGAGCTTCCAAGTGAGGCTGCCACTGGGAGGAGAGTGGTCAGATCGCCATGAAATATCCAGCTTGGCAGCAGCCAGCTCCCTACCTGGCAGGCAGTCCGGTTATTGTGGTAGGGACATGCATTGCAGGGCACATTGTTTATAGAATGCTAAATAACGTGTATTCATGCAAATGAAATAATTCATTTGCTTCCTGATAGGTAACCGACATCTGGCATGCCTTTCTCCTGAAGTCACTTCAGGTGCAGGAGCAAATTCTCAAGTCACAACCGGAAATGTCTCCGTTCACTGAGGACAAGAAAGTCAGCGATGACCGTATGAGTAAGCACTGCTATTGTGCAGAACTGTTTGGAAGACGGGATTTTAAAGAATCCGAACATCCCGCCGCTTATATTTATGGCATTGGGTTTTGTGCAGCATTTCTGTAGGCCAAATTTAATGGGAACAGCGGGTGTTTCTGAGGTTGATGCTCGGGGGATTGTGCTGGGTGAAGCAAACGAGGCCACTTTGGGAACGAGAGTGTTCAAATGGAAACACGGCTTTGCCCTTTTTGTTTACGGGCTCCTTCCCTTGGCCGTGACTGTAACAATACAAGATTTTTCCCTTTCGGGATTCGATTCCACTTCAACATTCTCGTTTGTCTGCAGTTCCTTTGTCTCCATTTAATTACGTGAAAGTGACATTTCATCTCACTTAGGTGGGTTTACAACTCTGAAGCGGTAGGACACAATGGAATAGCATGTGCTGATAATTGGATGTATTAATCTGGAGAATACTCCCAGGACGGAAGCTGGAGAGTCTCCCTGGGACATAAAGGTGGATACAGCATGAGGAAAGCCGCTAGCGTGCACGGTACTACCGTGAAGTCAGGCTAGAGTCTGGGTCTTCTCCCCTTTCCACCATCTACGCTGATAAGAATATTGTCAGAGGAGAGAAACGTTGCTGTAAATCCCATTGTCTGGCATTGTCTCCATCCCATAGGAGCAACGGCAAGCCAGGACTGCGCGACACCATCTTCAGTTACGGCAGGAGTAGGAAAGTTACTCTTTTCATGCAGCTGTTATGACTCCACATCCTTACTAAGGGCTAATCAACACAATTACTGACTGGATGAAAAGATAGCTGTTAGTGGGTATGGAATTTGTGTGGAGCTGGGATGCCGCGTTGATGCTTGTAGTAGAAATGCTTTGATGTCTAGAAGAGATAATCGGACAGTTTTGAATACATTATCCGCCATGCATACATACATCCAACAAGATTATTTCCTTCTCGATGCAGCTGAAGCCCAGCAATCAGAAGGAATCCGAGTGCTGAATGCAGTACTGCGTATCAGAGAACAGGCACCAAAGCCACAACCTGGGGAAACTGCGAGAGTTTTGCACGCTCTTGCCATGCTTTATTACCTGACCATGGATTTACCAAAGGTGAGTTTTATCCGGTGCCTAACTCTGTTTCGGTGCTCGCCCCAGCCCGGGAAGCCAGTTGTCTGCGTTCACCTGGCACCTTCCTGAGTCGACAACAGCCTCGGAGCGCTGGGTGACTGAGGATGGAGCTGCCAGCTCGCGATCCGTGCTCTGCCAAGGCCGATAAATCCCACTGGATCTGTTTTGGTCTCTGCCAGACCATCCACAGTAGTTATCCACATTTTCTGGGTTTGTCCTTTATCTGGGATGTCCTGGCCCCGTGGCTGCCTGTCACAAGCTGCATTTAGACTTCAGGTCAGACGTTATGCAGCGAGCAAGACGTGGGCCAGGCACATGTCTCTCCATGAGCCAGACTCCTTGTAATTACCATGATGTCGATGTAGGTTCACTTTTGGACCCTGTAATTCAGTTTTGAATTTTCACTTCTGTATTTTTATGGCTCAGAATTTCAGATATGACTGTTAACTTCAGCGTGCCAAGTTCTCTGCTCTAGAAATCGTTGACTTTGAGGAAGTGCTGAACAGTAACCATCTGGAAATCAGGCCTCTGTGTTCGGGCTAAGCACTCAAAAGCCCAAATTTCTTCTGCCTGTGTTTTGGAGGGTGAAAGTACAGATTACTAATGGTCTTTTAATTGTGTCAGAGAAAGCCATAATGATGTGAGTCCGTGGAAGACACAAAGAAACAAATCCAAATGAGAAAAAAGGCAAAGCTTTATAATTGTGAGAATGTCTAATCCCTGGAAGTGCTACCAAGGGAAATGAGGGATTTAGTCCAGACAGAGTCGATACAGCTGTTTTTTTCCTGAAATAGCTTTGGGAGTGTTCGGATGAGCTGCTGTACTAGACGGGAGGTAACAATCTCCAGCGCAGGGGGCTGGGGTTCATGACCTCTTCTGTCTGCACCACTGGATCCGAAATACGGGGTCTGCTGGCAGCTTTCCTCCTCGTACAGGTCACCCGCTGAGCGGCCAGAGCCTGGATCTGCCCCAGCGCAGCTACTCCAGTGAGCCTCCGCGGGTATTTTAACTGTCCCTTGAGAAAAGCCCAATTCCTGACAATTACTTTGTCTTTTCTCTTTCGTTCCAGGCCGGAGAGCTGGGGGTGAGAGCCTTCGGCCTGGTGCAACAGCTGCCCCAACAAGAGTCTCGAGAAACCATTGGTCGTTTGCTGAAGTTGATTAACTCCAAGCTCTCCTCCACGAGGTTTTCTGTTTAACTAAGGCAGCTGAAAACAGAAAGCATGACAAGACGCAGGTCCTTTCTGCTGCTACCATCTTCCCACATGTGTCCCTTCCTGTCTCAAAAGTGTTTGAAAATTAAACATTTTGATACCAGTTAATTTTCATGTGCTGCTCAACCTCCATAGCCTGTCACAGAGTTACAGCACAAGAGCGGGAAACAAAAGCAGAACCACCACACAATGCCTAAATCATTATCTAATGATTTACGAATAAGCAAACAGCCTCTTACGTCCTCATGCTGTCTGTCCAGACACTAAAACAAGCTGAGGTGTGTTCATTACCGGTTTCCTCAATTTACCTTTCAGTTTGATGAGGGAGGTACCAGGGAGGGGACGCAGGGAAGCTCCTTGCTGCACGCCTACCTCGGGTGGTTGACACCTGCTGCTCAGGATGTGGTGGCACCTCTCTGCAGTGCCCCTCCGTCTCCAAATCTACACTTTCTCTTTTTGCAGTGCTTTAGAGGAGTCTCGTAGCTCTGGGCACTGAGGGATTCACTTGTTCCGCTTGTGGAACCACGAGAACAGCGTGAGGGCCCATCTGCAGCCTCAAGGGAAAGGAGTAAAAGGCCAGCTAGCTCCAGTCAGAGCTTCCAACACAAAGGCAACGTGGTTTTCTCGGGGCCGAGAGCTCGCCAGCACGTAGGCATCCCATCGACTCTGACGCCAGCCCCAGAGGAGGAAGCTCCTCGTGTCACCGTGTGCTTCTGCCTGCAGACCTGCACCGAACACGCTCCCAACGCGCAGCTCTCGGGAGCGTCTGGCCTGGCGGAGCGGCAGGGCACGTGCGACCCTTGGCGTGAGGGTGACGGGAGGTTGGAGAGGGCCCGGAGAGGACTCCAGGGGAGCGAGGAGGGGGAAACACGGTCTGTGCGGTGAGCTCGGTGCAGACACCGAAGCGCGTGACAACCTTGCGCAGCTGGGAACGAGGCGAAGGGAAACTTGCCCTGCTGTGAAGGGCTGAGTTCAGCTGAGCTTTAAGCCTGCGATTAAGTCTCATTTACTTCAGGAGGATTTATGAGTGCATTTAATTGCCTTGCTGAATTGGGATGGAGTCAAGTATGCTTTTTTTAAATGCTTTGTCAAGCCAGGACCTGAGCAATTAGATGGGATTGATGCTGCTGGGAAAGGGAAAGTCTGGGGTTTGGTCAGGAGTGGGACAGCACTGGTTGGGGTGACCAGGGCCCCACAGCAGACGGGTGGGAGATCTCCGGCTGCTCCTGCGGGAGATGCCGGAGGCAGGGGGCACATCCACCCTCAGCTGGAGTGATGGGGGATGTAGGGGGACACTGGGAGGGGACGCTGCTGGCACAGTGCCTTGGTGCTTGGAGGATTTGGGTCACCACGGCCGGGGATTTGGAGCTGTGGGCTCAAGTGCGGCAGTAAATCCCCTGGGACGCTCTGCAGCCAGGCTGAGCCTGCGAGATGTGCTGGGCCAGCGGCTTGGTGTCACCGCTCCTGGTGTCACCGCTCCTGGTGTCACCACTCCTGACTGTTTAACGCCATTTAAAAAAAAGAAAAAAAAAACAGTGTGAAAATTAACTTTGCATAGGGCTGAGTGTCTGCAGGAGCAGCCACAGGCAAGGGCTGGGAATGGAAACATTGGCGCAGGCGAGAAGAGCCCTGGGCAAGTAAAGAACAGTTTTGGGGAGCTCTGATTTTTACAAGAGCCATTTCCGACAACACAGCTGTTTGCAGCGGGTGTGCTTCAGGACAAAGAGACATTTTAATAGAAAAAAGCCCGAAGTGACCAAGATCAGCATTTCTTTGCCCGAAAGCGTTTAGATCTGCAACGCTTGGCCCCACGTCAGCACAAAGCAGGGGGAAGAGGCAAAAAAAATAATTCTGCCAAGCAGCAGCACCCTCCCTCTCCCCTCCCCACCTTGCTCAGCTGCTCGCAGCAAGAGGCCAGACGATCTTCACAGCCCCAGGGGCAGGTCTGGGTCCAAGTGATGGCAGGAACGCAGCCAGGACGATGAGGAGGATGCAGTGAGGGGGTGGGGGGGCTGCAGTGCTCCGAGCTTCCCCTCACTCCAAGCAGAGGGGAGAAGCCCGGCTCAGCCGAAATAAAGGCACAGGACACAGCCGGCTGGGTCGCTGCACACATTCTCCTTTATTGTTAGCACACCACACACCTTTCTCCTTCCTCTTGGCACTTATTTTTATGTATTTTGTCTTAAAAAAACACACACGTGCACGCTGCATGGGCACCATGCTGCGCAGACACAATGAGTTATCACAGGGTATTATACAGATTCCC